CTGGCAGGTGAGCAGCTAAGAAAAAAAAAAGAAGAAGAAATCAACAAGAAAATAATACAATGACAGAAATAAACCAAAACCTTTCAGCAATAACTCTCAAACTAAATGGTTCCAATTCTCCAATCAAAAGACACAAACTGGCAGAATGGATCAAGACACAAAATCCAATACATGCCACATACAAGAAACATTTAATTTGAAAAGTTACAGACTAAAACTCAAAGGATGGAAAATATGATTCCATGCAATAGAAATCTAGAAAAAAGACTGGCTATCCTAATTTCAGACCAAATAGACTTCAAACCAAAACTGACCAGAAGAGACAAAGACACCAAGCTTGGTGGTGCTCACTTACAATCCCAGCACTCAGGTGGCTGAGGCAGGAGGATCAGCATGAATTCAAGGCCAGCCTGGGATACATAGTGAGTTCAAGACCAGCTTGAACTGCATGGCAAGACCCTGTCTCAAAAAGAAAAAAAAAAAAGAGAGACAAAGAAGGTCAGTACATATTGCTTGAGGAAACTATTGAACAGGAAGGGAAAACAATTATAAATATTTCAAACACCAGCACAGCCAATTTTATAAAGCAAACACTAATGGACATGGAAAAACAAACACCAACACCATCGTACGGAGGACTTCAACACTCACTGTCACAAATGGAGAGTAGCTAGACCCCCCCAAAAATCAATGAGTATCAGAGTTGACCCAAAACATCAAACAAATGGACTTGATAGATATCTGCAGAGCATTCCATCCAACCGCATTCTTCTCAGCAGCACATGGGACTTTCTCCAACGCAGATTATATACTAGCCTAGAAAGCATATTTAAGTTAAATGCAAAAGAATCAAAATTACCCCATAATTGATATATGGGATACTATATTATCAGATCATAGTGCAGTGAAAGTAGAAGTCTATGGCAAAAGAAACTATGAAAACAAATGGAAATTAAATAATACCCTCAATGGAGCACAGATAGAATTAAAGAAGAATTTAGTTTCTACAATCAAACAGTATTGCCAGGATGACACACTATGGTACACAACAAAAGCAGAGCCCTAAGAAGTTTACAGCACTGAATTCGCACGTCAGAAAAACAGAGCAAGCTCAAATAAATAACCTAATGTTGTACCCGGAGGTCCTAGAAAACCAAGAACCCAAATCGCAAGGCAGTACGAGGAAGGAAAGTATAAAGAGCAGAGCAGAATGGAATTCAGACTAAAAAACTCTAAAGAATCAATGAATGAAAATGGTGGTTCTTTGCAAGAAAAAACAAAGTAGACAAACCTTTCACTAGGTTTACCAAAATAAGGAAAGAAAAGACCCAAGTGTGCGCCGTGAGAAATGAAAAAGGCAAAATTACAACAGATTCTGCTAAAGTCCAGATCACTGCTAACTACTCTGAGAACA